AATTTATAAAACGTCTGGAAATTTGACGCAATATATCTTGGGGTTATGTTGATAACTGCAGAAAATCTACCCAATAACTTTATCCAGAGCTTATCCTGCCGATAATACTTAAACGAAGTTCGAAATACCCGAAGTAACGCTAACTGTCGGTTTATCTGGGAGATATCTTATACTTGACTTTATCCCGAGATGGAAATACCGGCCCAGTAAAATTTATTATGGCAGATAAGTACCTACTTATCTACAGACAACATTCATGACAACATTTTTTTCACGTTTTAACAGAACACCTCGAAAAACGTAGTATCATAAAATCTTAAAAAAAGACACAAACAAATAAATTGGGCATGCATCGGTGCTCCCAAAAATGTAAAAGTATTTTGGATGCCGTTCAATGCTGTTCGTCAAAACTTTTCGTTTTCGAGATATTCCCGGCTAAAATTTTGATCCCACCTATAGATATGTCTCGTCCAGGCCTCCTTCCGATTCCGACACTTTGTTCTTGGGATGTTAGGATACCCGATCTCCATAAAAGATCAAAGAAAAATACTGCGAAACAATTCCTCTCGTTAAGACGTTATTAGAGAATTTTAACACCCAATTCCCGAAATAGTGGAACTTAGCTAACCTTTTTTCTATATAAATTCGGCCGCACAATATTTCAATATGGGGGAAGAAATAGCAAACCAAAATCCATATGTAATAGATGCAGTAATGAATAAACGAAAACTGTAAGTTTATGTATCTTTTAAATTAATTAATAAAGCCGAGAATAAAGCAAATTTGCTTCTTCATCATCGAGCTTATTTTGGCAATTAAATTGCATATTATACGATTTTGATATCTCTTCAAAAAACTCTGTGAGATATCGAATTAACGTCTTGAGCATCTTGTTTAGACGTTTTTCTTGTATAAATAATAGGTAATCTTGAAATTGTTTGGTCAATTCCGGTCGGTTACGGACTTTCACGTGCGCAAATAGAATTATAAAGATCTTTTTTCTATTTCGGTGTCACAATGATGATTTTGTACAACTGTTTTCGGCCTAAAACAGCTGTACAAAGACAGTGATTATAGTCGTTTTTTTTTGGTAACTCATCTCTTAAGTTTGCAGTTACTAGTTAGTACAAGTAGGTACTTCGTTGGGTACTTCCATGTTTGAACTTCAAAATGTCAGTCTTACAGTCTTTCTCATACAGAAGAGCCTTCGCGATCGAGTTTCTATCGTATCCACAGAAGCTTTCGAAGCTGGTTTTTTTAGGTGAATATTTCGAGGAGAGAAGATTATTTTCCGATAGCGAATATTTCGAAAGGTGGAATATACAAATAACCTTTCGGATGCAAACTTATCGAGAAATGAGAATGGAGGGGCTAATTTTCAGTTGCGATTTTGCGAAGCTTCCTACAATTGGACCCTAGATTGGAGCTACACATGTGATACAATATTAAACAGTATATAATAATATACCTGTATGTAAATAACACAAATAGGTATATACACTTGTTTATTATCCAAAGGTAAACAATTTATTTTAATCTAAGCATTCATTATCGTATGCTGGTTATCACGTATATTTCGTAGGTAAATATTTACGCGCTTAAAATATGTTATCTGGTATCTCTATAGTAGGTATTAAGGATTTCTCATCCGCCAAGAGATAAACATTGAGATCATGACTGAAAGGAACAATTACAATAATTATAGGGAGAAATATCGTTCCAACTAACGTTTATTATAAAGAATGTTTTCTATGGCGATCGATTTCGGGTAGTTATATCCCATCGTCAGGCTAAGCTGAAATATTTGAGCAATTCATAAATCATGAACAATTACAGGTCATGGATAAGCAGTGTAAGGTTTTTCATATTCTAACCCAATCTTCAAACTATTATTGAAATTGATTTTGATTATAGCAATAAATTATTAGCAGCAATTAATCTGTTTACTCGCAATACCTGTAACGGAAGCCACATACAGGTGCCCCAACAAAAGTGGGCATCGAAGAGGGGCATTATCCATATTCTCGAGCCTAGAACTCCATGGCTTTGGTTCAATAAAAAAGAAATAATCGGCTGTTATTTTGTTGGCGCATGATGCATGAATCTTGTAATAAAACATAATTTAATGAAATATACACCCCGGACCCCCACCCAGTCTATCAGCGTATGTACGTTTTCAAACATGTCTGTTCGTGATCGACATCAAAATTAATGCAAAATTTGAGAAGAATGGAATGAGCTTTCAGTTTCTAAAGGGGTGGCAATTTCAAATCAGGGGACGAGAAAAATCACAATTGGTTCCCCTTAATTCAAGCCAGTTTCGAGCATATCCTTAAACGTTTATTATAAACATGTTCTGACAGGTTCATAATTTAAAAAAAAGTACCATTTAATTCGGGAATAGGACACCTAATTAGCACCTAATTAGTACCTAATTATAGTTAGTTCACTTTTCATTTTCTTGGGTTTTTGAGGTAGTGTTCTGCTGAGTTCATATGAACCTGGCAAAACATGTAATAATTTTTTTAAAAAAGGAGCATTTAATTCGGGAATAGGGCACTTAATTAGCACCTAATTAGCACCTAAATATGCAATATGTTTGATTGTGTTCTGCTGACCTTGCTCTGCTAGGTTAATGGACATGTCCATCTGTGGACTGGATAACTCACTAACGGTTTCGAATTTTCCAATTCTGTTTTTAGCAATAGGTATAGACAATGGTCGGGGACTAATGGCCGTTTGCACCGACAAATTTAAGTGGAGCTTAGCTTAAGCGTAGCTTAAAATCCATGGCAACCATTGTCTCAATAATCGTTGCCATGGATTTTAAGCTTAAGCTAAGCTCCGCTTAAATTTGTCGGTGCAAACGGGCATAAGTGATTAAATTTTGGTCAATATTCGCAGTTTATTGACAGTAGTGATAGGTACTGTGGGACTAATGTGCCCCAATCTAGATTGGCGTACTCGAAGGTGCACTAGTTCGCCAACGTGTCAAAATGTGACCAGACCCCGGGTTATGAATGGGCTACAGCTGGGCTACAGCCCAGGGCGCCACTTTCGGAAGGGCAAGATGTGAGTACTTTTTCAACGGTTGTGGTAAAAAGTTTCTTTCTGCCAGTGGGACATTCCTCTCCTCTGCGGTTCTTGGGGCATTTTGTTTCAAAATCAATACAGATAAATAACCCTATCAAGCTCGATCACTAAGTACGCAATTCAACTATTATTTAAACATTAGACACAGGGCAGAGCGCTAAAAACATAGCCCGGGGCCTGAATGTGACACTTGTGGCTAAATAACGACTTTTTTAAAGTTGAAAACGCCAACTAAATTTACAGATTTAAGTAATCGATAACGAAATCACAAAAAAAATTAAGTATACAACATTCTTCAGATCAAGGTTTTAGTATGGCAAGTAAAATTAAAATCATCTTGATAATCTCATTGTCTCTATTTTTAAACAACGACCTCTTTTCATACCTACCAAATATGCAAACAAAATTTTACAAAAATCGGTAGAGTCGTTTCGGAGAAGTGCGACCACCAACACCGATACTTCAATTAAAAAGAAATTAATTGAAAAACCAAATACAGGAATCCGAATCAAACAAAATCTCGATTATGTCGATCGGTCTGTCGGTCTGTATGCCTGTGCTCTCATTTCCGGCAAAACGGCTGAACCGATGGGAACCAAATTTTGTACACATATTCTTAGACATGAAATATCAGCATCAATAGTTTCTTCATGTTTTTTTATCCAGAGGGTGAGATTCGAGGATGGGTTACTTCATATTCTTCAAGGCTTATTTGCCTCATTATTGTGAAAGAACAAAAATTAGCGTAAGAAAGATTTGAGTGCATTTTTACCTAAATAGACAACAGCTTAGGTGTAACTTTTATATCCATTGCAGTTTCTGGGAAGCAACAAAGTATTCATTTTGTTATGGAAGCGGTGAGAAAAATACAAAAGACAAAAAAAACTAAGAAAAAAAATACTGTGCATTTTTACGTGAAAATCAGTGGTCTAGATATACTTTTCATATCCATTATAGTTTTTGTACTGTTAAATTGAGCATATTTTACACATGACAAGATTTTTAACGTATTCATCCGTGTGGAGGGCTAGGGGCAAATCGAGGGGCAAATTCAAATTGGAAAATTTCATTAATTTTTCACTAATGGCCTTTTATACCGTCAAATGGAACTTAAGTTCAACTTAAGGTGAAGGCTTTACTGTTAAGGTGCAAATGGGCACAAAATAGTCAATCTGATGTTTTACCATAGTCGCCCATGCAAATTTAATAAAAAAAAAGGTGCCAAATTTGATATTGCAGTTCAATGGAAATTTTAAGGGTTGTTAAGGGTGTACCCAAAAACCTACCCAAAGCGTTGGCTTATTTATCTGATTTTATTCCGATATATACGCGTTGATTCGCTTTACTGAAAAATTGTACAGAGGCAAATTGTGTAACTCTTCAAACGAATCATTTTCGTCCCTAGCTTTATATTGTAGGTTAATTGATAATGGGTGTTATAAACAAAGTACGTTGATAATACTCGAGACGTTTTTTATTGCAACTATTTATTTACGTCACTAGCGCATGTGACGGCTCACAAATAACCAAATCACGGTTTCATTAATTTTCAAAATTGATTTGGTCACAAACGAAAAGTGAAAAGAGGTTTAGGCACGGAATTTTTATTAATGTACAGCGACCTATCACAAAGGGACGCGCCACGTTTGAAGAATGTTGTTTTTTTTATTCAAACACGCGTCTTGAACACGTAATTAAATATTTTACCACAACTAATTATAAATATGAAATCATCCAAGGTGTAGTAATATGTATCTACAAATTTATTCTGTTGGGTTTTTTTTAATACCTAATTAAATCCTGGATTGTTCGTCAACCAGAAACATATTGGTACGGCCATCCCGCACTTATCGCGGCATGTTAGTTATGTAAATCATGCAATAACGATTCAGAAAAAAAGGTTTTACCTTGACAATCCTTGATGCAATTAGTAGGGTCGTAATTGTGGGTGCTTTGATTACAAATCTGCGAGCAAGGGTGGCATTGGTTGTCGTAATTTGAGCAATACTCTTGCATTTGGCAAAATCTCGCGCCACATTTCGGCCCCGTTAGTGTCAAATCTGACTTTACTTCAAATATAAAACAAGTAACAACTAATAAAAACACTAAACACTTCATTTTAACAAATTTCTTTTACATTATTATTGCAAACTAATTTTGTACTAATATTACGTTTAATCACTTTTGAATCACATATTAATTGCGGTTAAAATTTTTTCTTTAATTTCACATCGCGGATTTTTCGAATTTAGTGGTATTTTAGACACCTTTCGGATTTCTTTTGAAAATCAACAGGTGTATGGCTTTTGAATTCGACTAAGTGACTTAACTATACGTGCGCGTACACCTGAGTGAGTCATTGTACAAATGAATTCAGGTGAGACGTCCGTAAAGCTACTTGGAATACGGTTTATAATTGCGGTTTACGGCTACCTTAGAAACAGGTATTCTATCCCTTCCTTTTCCCCTTTTCATTTTTTAATTGTTTTACAACATGGCAGCGGCATACCATAGTAATTTAACACTGAATAGTAAGTTTCGAGTTTTCGATTACATTTACGGTACAGGTACTTTGTTGCATCCACATCAAAGAGAATTTATATATTTTTTTAATTCGAAGGGACTTTTGGTATCCCTTATGCAATAGCTACCTTTTTTACCTGGCTATCCGAGGTATAAAAATATTCTCACAGCGGGATAGGGAGGGTTTTACCTAACTCTTAGCAGTTGTAAAACAATGTTCAATTGAGATACATAAAGAACAAATTGCATCATTGTAATAGGTATTCGATATTATGTACTGCATCTACATCAATCAGTTTAAAATTCAATTAGCACTACTAAAACACTCCCATTTAAATATGTAGGTACATCTTGCCCATGGTAGATACAGTTTTATGTGCGTGTGTTTTTAGTTTCAATTGTTTAGTACCGTATTTTATATTTATACAAAACAATAAAATTATTAAGCGCCAAGAAAGTACTGCAAGGTTTAAAGGGGCGTCGATGGTGTCTGTCTGTCTGTGAACACGATAACTGGCATTTGGCAAAAGCTTGGTAGTCCAGTGGCCTTACCCTTCAAACCTTGCGTCAAATGCGGTAGTTCTGATTTTTTGCCGACTTGTTTAGGATGTTGACCCAATGAATAATCCAAGTTTTTGACCGCGGGCGCCGAACGCAACTTTGTCAAAAATCGAAGAAGCCGCGGAATTTTCAACTTTTAGAGTGATAGAGTCTGTGATAAGCTAAATATAGGGGCCCAAATGGGGGAGGGGATATGTGACACTACTACTTAGGTAACGAATTTGCAGTCTGGCAAAAATTTGGTAGGTTTCATATGTGGAATATCCAATTAATTGAACTTATACTTTGGATTCAATACAAAACAATCTGACTTATCTCCAATGAGTCTATTTTTCAGTTTTTCAGTCACCAAACATATTTTCCATGTCAACAAAACAATCATACTATTTTTTTTATATTTAATATTTATTTCCATAGTTGCACTTCAGGTTGAGCATCCAGTCACTAGAATCCAGCTGTGGGCTTTCTTACTGGCTTCGTGTAAACCCGACATAAGCGTCTGTTAAATTCCTTTTAGGATCTTTTCTGAAATTGCTCTAAAGTCGTTTAACATCTAGTTCAAGTTCGTCTCTTGTTTAGATTCAGCTTCACAATAAATTCTCCTCAATACCCTTCGTACCTTTCCATTTCTTCCAGTGCCAGATTCCCATCAAAATTTCCTAAAATGTATTGTTCATCTCAAGTTCCTCTTTTGTATGGTATAAGTCTCCGAAGCCGCACCACCAACCGTAGTAGGCAAAAGGCGGTGGTGAAACCAGCGCGAAAACTGGGTTATTGAGGTCATAATTTCAAACAGTTCCAAGATTGGGCTATTTCAAAAGTTACAGTCCTTTGAATTTTCTTTCGAAATTGGTTTCTAGTCTATAACTTTTGATTGAGAACTCTGATCGAAAAAGTACGAATTGTTTCGGATTCTACGCTCCAAAATTAATAAGAAAAAGTGTTTTCCCGAGAAATTTTGGTGTAGTCGATTTTTGGTAAAAAAAGGAAGGTTATACACTGCCTTTTTTTAGGCCCGAAAAAAAAATTGTCTCAGATGGACCCGGAAAAAAAATTTTCTTATCGAATGTGGCCTGTAGAATCCATAATTTCAAACAGTTCCAAGATTGGGCTGCTAGATCAAAAGTTACAGCCCTTTGAATTTTTTTTTAAATTGGTTTCTAGTCTATAACTTATGATTGAGAAGTCTAATCGAAAAAGTACGAATTGTTTTGGATTCTACGCCCCAAAATTAATAAGAAAAAGTGTTTTCCCAAGAAATTTTGGTGTAGTCGATTTTTGGTAAAAAAGGAAGGTTATACACTGCCTTTTTTTGAGGCCCGAAAAAAAAATTGTCACAGATCGACCCGGAAAACAAATTTTCTTATCGAATGTGGCCTGTAGAATCCATAATTTCAAACAGTTCCAAGATTGGGCTACTAGATCAAAAGTTACAGCCCTTTGAATTTTTTTTGAAATTGGTTTCTAGTCTATAACATATGGCGTGGCGTGTTGAAGAAAATATACTGTACAAATATGTACAACAGCAATATCCGGAACTTCAGTCAGAGGCGAATCATTGGAAAATTGTGGTACCCAAGCCAGCACGAAGGCAACTATTAGCTCGTTATCACGATCATCCTACAGCAGGACACGTCGGTGTCTACAAGACGTATTGGAAGCTATGTGAGCAACATTATTGGCCTAAAATGAAGGACGATGTGGTTAAGTATATTAAAAATTGCACCATCTGTGCTGAGTACAAACCCGACCAATTACGCGCAGCTGGATTAATGGGAGACAGGCCAAAAATCAAGAAACCCTGGCAAATGATTAGCTTAGATTTCATCGGCCCATTTCCAAGATCGAACCGGGGATACAAATATGTGTTAGTCGTCACTGATTACTTCAGTAAGTATGTGGTAACTTTTCCATTACGTAACGCCACAGCAAAACAGTTAGTTAACTGCATCGAAGAGGGCATTTTCTTAGTATATGGTACCCCCCAATTTAATATTTGTGACAACGGGGTGCAAATGAAGTCAAAAGAATTCCAGCAAGTATGTAAGGACTATAGAGCTCAGATCTTTTACACAGCCCTATATTATCCAAGAGCCAACCCCACAGAAAGGGTCAACAGAGTTATCAAGACAATGATAGCTTCTTATATTAAAGGTGACCAGAAGAAGTGGTGTAAGAATCTCGCTGCAGTGACCTGCGCCATACGAACTTCTCGACATGAAATAACAGAAGCAACCCCTTATTTCATCAATTTTGGAAGGGAGCATAAACTGTATGGTAAGGATTTCGAAAATCAGGTTCCCGAGGATGCTATCAATGCTAATCAATTAATAGAACAACGACAGATAGGTTACAGGAAAATGTTCGATCGTGTTAGGGAACGATTAAAATCGGCCCGCGAGCACAATGCTCAAACTTACAATCTTCGACGTCGACATGTCGAGTACACCGTAGGACAAAAGGTTTGGAGGAGGAATAAAGCCCTATCTGATGCAACAGCAGACTTTAATTCAAAATTAGCACCGAAGTACATTGGGCCATTCATTATAAAACGGAAGACCGGCTACTGTACGTATGAACTTCAAGATGACCATAATAAATCAAAAGGCATGTGGCATGTACAAGATTTAAAACCCCATTATTCTCATGAAAATGGATAGATGTGTTGGTAATTAATGTTTTTTGTTGACGTCTTTGGCTTTCTTTTAGGCATTTATGTCTTGTCCAGTGTCTAGGTATGATTGAGAAGTCTAATCGAAAAAGTACGAATTGTTTTGGATTCTACGCACCAAAATTAATAAGAAAAAGTGTTTTCCCGAGAAATTTTGGTGTAGTCGATTTTTGGTAAAAAAGGAAGGTACACTGCCTTTTTTTGAGGCCCGAAAAAAAAATTGTCACAGATCGACCCGGAAAACAAATTTTCATATAGAATGTGGCCTGTAGAATCCATAATTTCAAACAGTTCCGAGATTGGGCTATTAGATCAAAAGTTACAGCCCTTTTAAATTTTCTTTCAAAATTGGTTTCTAGTCCATAACTTTTGATTGAAGAAAAAGTGTTTTCCCGAGAAATTTTGGAGTAGTCGATTTTTGGTAAAAAACGGAAGGTTAAGTATTCAAATACTATGCGAAGTATTCGAATACTTCTCAAAGTATTCAAATACCTTGCGAAGTATTCGAATACTTTACGAAGTATCCAAATACTTTGCGAAGTATTCGAATACTAAATATTTGTGAAAGTATTTGAGTTACAAATACAAATAGGTACTGCTTCCATAAAAGTATTTAATTACAAAGTATTTGAATACTTCAAAGGCTTTGAATACTAAAAAGTATTTACAAAATCGAATACTGCCCAGCTCTGTTAGACGGTAGGTATAATAAGAAAAAACACATGAAAATATGATTATATGTAAATTTGAATTTACAAAATAAACGGTGGGTACGGCGACAATCGGCGGCATGATACGGTAACTCGAGCGTCACCCAAAGATTCGTAAACCCTACTTCTGGCCAAGGTCGGAGATTCCAGAAAACAGGAGGACGTACACTGGGGAATAATCTAAAACAGAATTACAGCACACCGCCGCGACTTCCCAAAGCGGAAACGCAGAATTTAACTATCGGTATCTAGCGGGAAACAAACCAAAGGAAAGACAACTCCCTTTACAACTAACGGAATGAAAATATAAAATTGAACATCGACAGATAATAATAATAATCATAAGAAGTTTATTAGAGCTATGAATAAAAGAAAGAGAGATCAAAAAAGCAGTCATTGTGTTACCTTATATAGACTTCTCAAAAATGTGCAAATGGAACTCGGATTTTCCAGCTGGCCGGCGCACTCGGGTGATAACTTTCAAAATTAAAACTTCTTTCGTTAATTTCGTCGCTTCTGGTCATCATCAAAATCCGGGACCGGTTCCAAAACTCATGCGAGATAAGTGTGCTACATTTGACACTAGACACAATCTCATCAGACGAGGTTTGCTGCAACATATCTGATTAGCTATCGGTATTTATGCTCACTGAAATGGCCGGGCTGAAATTTACAACTTCAGTAGTCCAGTAAGGCCCATTGTTAATTGAAATTTTTGAGTCCAACGACAGGTTATTTTCTCAGCTTTATCTACGTGTAAGCGAGCAACCTTACCGGTTTCTATACTAGTTTTAACTAAAATAGGCCAATGAAAATCCGTCGCGCACTTACGGACGAAGCGGCTTTTTTCGCTCACATTGATTTAAATAGGAAAACATTCACTTGGACGAAGCGCGGATTATCGACGTATTAAAATCAATGTGAGCGAAAAAGGCCTTTCCCCGCGCCGCGCCGCGCATACGTGCGCGACGGTCTTAACGATATTATCCCCTCCTGTTCCAATCCCAAAGAGCTTTCGGATACTGCAAAGATAATTTAAATATCTCTACGAGAACGGCTACAAACGTTAAAATAGTTACAGCATCTTAGTTTCCTTAACGGTTGCGAAAACGGCGCTAAAAACTAAAGTCGTTACTTTTACAATCTATTTCTAATTCATAGAAAAAAAAGTCGGTCAGTCCGGAGCTACAATTTCTCGTAAGGAAGCGCACGTTTGAGTACCAGGTGTTCATTAAATCTGGTAGCTTTCTTCAAAATACGGTGTGTTCATTAATTCTGTTATAAAAAGTGCAATTAAATTTTGCTTGTAAATGTCGTTTTGTGGCCTTTTAAGGTCATCTTCAGCGACGAATAGTGTTCGCTCTGAAGTTCTGCGTAGCATTTCAGTATTTTGTACTTATGTGTGGATCATATCTACTGGGCGACCAGGTGATTTACATAGAAATATTTTATAATAATCGGATTTTCTTTTCTTCAACAGACATCTAAGATTAACGTTTGAGCGGTAAAAAGAGACCCATCATACATCATACATTGAAGTAGATATTAGGATTTATGTGTATCGGTTTCCCTATGTCTAAATTTAAGACAAACTCACCGCCTAATTTTATGCAACCAAAATAACTACTTAAAACAAATAAAGATCTGGCTGTCATATTAATTAATTTGAATATTGTTCCTTTGGATTCACAGAAAATAAATCCCTTACACTCCTTAAACTGTTACCGCTTACCGGCACTATATCAATTGACAAGATCAACTTTTTCTTCAGTTGATGCATCGCACACAAATGAAAATAAAAATACGGAGCCCAAAGCAACAATATACAAATTAATTTTAATACCACAGCGAGATCTTTATTTGTTTTAAACAGTTATTTTGGTTGCTAAAAATTAGGCACCCTTCAAAAGGATTTTGCCATTTAAAAGTAGGCATAGGTAGAAACTATACACGTAAATCCCCAGGTCTATTTCTCCTATCACTGATGACGGTAAAGGAAAGCAAAAAGGCTGTTAAATTTCCACCTCTTCTGCCCATTGATCGCCTTTTACGATCTCCAGGGCGGGAGTGGGTCAATTCTACCCCCGAACCCACAGGGGGTACAATTGGATTACATCATAATATCGGGCTATCAAAAATGAGTGACTGTCGAGTCGCCTTTGGAAATTCGAGTTAAGTACGATTTCCATTTCCCATATAAACAAAAATTCCAAAGGTGACTCGACGGTCACTCATTTTGTATCGCTATGTAGAATCAAAGTAACTCTTCAGGCTATCATCTTTGAGAAATATTCAACTTTCAGTCAATCCATGATGGTTTATGCGTATTAGGAGTAATGCAGACCATTGTGAAAGTAGGTATTAAAGTTTTAATGAATGAACTACAAACATGATGTGATGGGAAACGCATGGCATTTGCATAAATGCTTGATGGAGTCTGCTTTAAAACAGGGAGAGAAGCTTTTCCTTACTAAGTCGACACAAAGCCGCTACAGTAGAGAAGGTACTGCTGAAATAGAGGTGTTCAGCATTTGGCCCCATCAAAGAATCGGCATTCTTGCATTGTTCTAAAGGTTGTAGGTACCTATAGCTTTGAAAAACCAAGTAGAAAAGGACCACAGCTCCTCAAATACCGAACAGTGTAAATGAAGGATGGACCTTTCCACAGTCATTTCCAACCATCAACAAGACTCGAAGCAGTATTCACCTTAGTTTTTCGTGATAGAGGGACTGTGCAGGAAACGTACGCCGCCTTGTACTGACTGAGTAAGGAAAACACATATACAGGGTCTGAATTAAATATGAAACCAAAGCTCCAACGCTCAAACCGTTTGACCTAAATGAAAATTAGAACGCTTCCGTTTGAAGGTATTACCCATATTTTGAGATACAAAATTTTTTAAGGTACCTTACATTCAAAAACGTGCATTACCACTGTCTACACACACATACATCTGAGACAATTTTTTTTCGGGCCTCAAAAAAAGGCGATGTATAACCTTCCTTTTTTTCCAAAAATCGACTACACCAAAATTTCTCGGGAAAACACTTTTTCTTATTAATTTTGGTGCGTAGAATCCAAAACAATTCGTACTTTTTCGATTAGACTTCTCAATCATAAGTTATAGACTAGAAACCAATTTCGAAAAAAAATTCAAAGGGCTGTAACTTTTGAACTAGTAGCCCAAACTTGGAACTGTTTGAAATTATGGATTCTACAGGCCACATTCTATAAGAAAATTTTTTTCCGGGTCGATCTGAGACAATTTTCTTTTCGGGGCTCAAAAAAAGGCAGTGTATAACCTTCCTTTTTTACCAAAAATCGACTGCACCAAAATTTCTCGGGAAAACACTTTTTCTTAATAATTTTGGTGCGTAGAATCCAAAACAATTCGTACTTTTTCGATCAGACTTCTCAATAAAAAGTTATAGACTAGAAACCAATTTCGAAAGAAAATTCAAAAGGCTGTAACTTTTGAACTAGTAGCCCAATCTTAGAACTGTTTGAAATTATGGATTCTACACGCCACATTCTATAAGAAAATTTTTTTCCGGGATCGACTGCACCAAAATTTCTCGGGAAAACACCTTTTCTTATTAACTTTGGTGCGTAGAATCCAAAACAATTCGTACTTTTTCGATCTGACTTCTCAATCAAAAGTTATAGACTAGAAACCAATTTCGAAAGAAAATTCAAAGGGCTGTAACTTTTGAACTAGTAGCCCAAGAATTAAATATGAAACCAAAGCTCCAATGCTCAAACCCTTTGACCTAAGATATGAAAATTAGAACGCTTCCGTTTGAAGGTATTACCCATATTTTGAGATACAAAATTGTTTAAGGTACCTTACATTCAAAAACGTGCATTACCACTATCTACACACACATACCTACAATTTCGTAGTATTCGAAGCGATGTGTAAGGAAGTGGTTGATTTAGTATTCCGAGTATTGAATCGCAACAGTGGTAGTGCACTGTTGTGCTCCAAACGAAATAATTCAATAAATTCCCGCAGAATTCGCAGGGAAATGTTTTACAATCAGACATTGCTAAAAAAACAAATAGGCAAAATAAAAACACTGCAGTTGACCGGGATGACCCTATAATCTACCACGCTACTGAATTTGCATCCACACATTGAAACTTTTTGTAAGCACGCATAAAATTTCGCATAGAAATCATGGGTATTCAAAAACGTGGCGTTTTTTTGTGCATACACATTCACGTTTTCGTATGTGCGTTTTTGAATGCACGCACAAAAACGTCCGTCTAGGGACTTTTTTACATGGTTTATTGAAGGCGACCGCCATCCAAATTTTTTTACATAGCAACATAGTTCTTGTGATATGTAAGTCATTAGAAAGCTTATTTTTTGTCTTTCTTATTACCTCAATTAATTAAATTAAAAAATAGTAGTGAAAGAACCCTGGAATATGGTCAATAAATGTTACAAAATTAAGATTTATTTCTCACGCTATGCAATGATACGTTTTGTTTTAATTACTAATCATTTTATAGAATTACGCAATTTGTATCTTTATATTAGATTTTTTGTATTTTTTTTGTTTTTCTATTTGTGGTTACTTTACCAAAAAAGATTAGTGGATATTACTTATAACGGGCGATCAAATATTTCCAGAAGCTAGTAGTTTTGAAATTTTTTATGGTGCGAGTACCACAGGGTCAATGGACTGGATTACTGGACCATGAGTGGGGTAGGGAATTACAAATTTCAAATGTACAAATTTTGTTATAAATCTTTTATTATGTTTATCTACATATACAAAAACATCAGGTGGTTATAAAATAAATTACAAGATGGAACATATTCCATAGACAAAATGTAAAAAATAAAGAAAATAGAAAAGTAATCACTTGGATATAAGTACACCTAGTAAATGATAATAAAGAAATATGTATTCCAATATTGCATCCTAAAAATGATGTCTACATTGCATATTGACACACTTGCTGCACAAATATAAATGCCTACCTGCTAAAAGATAAATAATCATAAAGTTTAAGCAAACCTGTAAAGAATACTGTTATTGAACTATCCCTATGACAGTGCGTAAACTCAAAAATAAACTAGAATTTTGACTAAACATATATCACATCTACGAGGACTATAACTTATTCCGTATTGCTTCTTCATGTGATTAGATGTAAATTTTTGGTTTATATTCACTATTTTACCAAGCTGGTGTTTAATAAACTATATTATAACATAAATACTTAATAATTAAATATTATTTCGAGCACATTAAACTAAACATTTATTTTTATGAACTAAACAAACGTAATTCAATAGAAGATTAAAATAATGTCATTTTCTACTAGAAAAGTTTTAAAATAATTTTTTTACACGCCACACTATCCACAGCCTTTTCCATATAAGTGCCCTTCAAGTATATTTTGGTATCTCTGAACAATAAAGGTTTAATACTTTCAAGGCACCGTAACTAATAAACCAAATCTTATTTCGATAAAGAGATTTAACGTTAATATACACCCTGTTCAATAAAGAGATTAATACTGAGACATCTTAAATACCTACAATCAAATTCAAAAAATAAATTTAATTTTCTTATTCGATAATTGTCAACAGTATACCTCGTTAGTCTTTGAATTTACCAAGTATTTAAAAATTCTACTAATCAATGTAAACTGGAGATATACCTACTGTATAATTTGCAAACAAACGCTTAACAAACGAAAATACTATTCGCACACTGCATTCATTCAGGACAAACTTGACTGCTGTACAGGTAATTTATTAAAAGTTCAAAAAAGGAAGTTTTAAGAAACATCAATTAATAGCTGCCAGCTGCCATAGCTGGTGTCGTTACACTATTGGGAACTTTAATAGGACTGGTACTTTGCACTACGTAGTGTGTCAGTCGTGTCGGGAGGCAACCGGCGTTAAGCTGGTAAAATTCGACTAACTGAAGTAAATCATAAAATTTGGTTACGCCACTATCCAACGAAAATACGTGAGCCTCTCGTACGGGATCCATAATTGGATTGATTTGTGCATGCAGTACCTTGCTACCACACTTGTATGTGAGAACAAAACAGCCCGGATTCGATCGACTGTCACGTACAACAAATACCCTGAAACAGACCCATTAATTCCTTCTAAATGGTACAAAATTTATGACTTACCCATCAACTGTTCCGTGTTTATTCACGAGCGCGGTCGCTTGGTCCCTAGTCATTCCGCTGTGAAACCACGGCTGTGTAATGTGAACGCCAGATTCGATGCCATTGACGTGCGCCAAATTCGAGGGCGTCCGCATTGTCGGTCTCCATCTTCTCTTCCAGGAGTAGCCCTCGGCAACCGCTATGGCTTTGGCCTCTTTCGGATCGTCCACTATTCTTCCAACGGATCCCGTAAAATCCATCGCGACCCGCGACCTTACGGATTCCTGAAACAAAAGGCGAAATGTAAATATCATACTCAAATTACGCGAAAGAAGCGAACGATGTATGTATAATCGAAGTGAAAGAACTTCTGTTCTGATTTAATTAATTCCCTTTGTCTGTTCGTTTACCTCGCATTTATCAAATGTATTCAAAGTATATACAAAAGGGATAGGATTACACTAATTGGAAGTATTACATATATTCAGTAGATAAAATTAGAATTATTAATAGAAATGGGTATCGATTTGCTTAGATTATGTGAAACCATTTGTAAATATTACATTACATACTCGTGTATAAGAGTTTGATTATTTATTAAATATATGCACGTGTTTTCTTTTTGCGGGAATGATCGCAGATCACATTTGCATTTCGGTACTAACGCAGAATATCGCAAATTTTTTACAAAAGAAGAATTTGTTGCACACCGAATTTGAATTTGGTACAATTTCAGGCGCAAACTCAAACCGGATGGGTGTGATAAGATCATGAATCTGTAACGCCCTTGTTGGCAACTAACCCCTAACGAACGTAAGAGACTGTTTCCAAGTCCAACGACAATTTAATTTAATCGACAATGCCGCTTTGTTACACCCACCCCCTCCGCTCCAACATTGTCGCAATACCAATGCCAAAATGTTGGAACCCGTGTAGCTCAATGGAATAGGCGCGTCCACCGTTCCAGGCAGAGGGATTCAGCTACCTGCCTCTCTTCAATTCCGCTAAATTGATTTAATCCTTTGTTCGACCATTTTGTGCCTGAATTACGATGTATTTTTTTTATTCACTTCACGTAACAAATACTTACTGGATCATCGTGATCAAAAAAAGAAAAGAACACGTGAAGAGTAATCAATTATTACAATCCTCGTGTGAGATCGAAGGGACATGTTTGCGTGGCAGATCAGTATTCTATTATCCAGTTTTGCCGGGAGCTACTACATTTCCTTTGTCGGTACCTAGTTCGACCGTCCCGTTTGAATCCACCATCAGTAAGATCTTGTTGATGGCAACCACATTCCCTTTGTCGGTACCCACCCACAAAATAGGACTCAATTTTCGGGGCACTCTTGATAGCTCGAGCTATACGAGAAAGATAGACAAAATTCGTAACGGAATATACCTTTTGGGCACCCGAAGTCAACTACCCCTCGCAGACGCGCAGCCAGTCGGGCTTGAAACTTGAAAGCTACACGCTAAGAAACAAGTATAAATTGTGCACAACTTTTGTGCAGATAAAGCGCATCACCAATTGCTTTATTATATATTTCTTGCAGACGTCTCAATCGCTCTTTGTGAGTACCCTCTTCCGACAATCGGTTTTTGAGGTATAAGGGAATATACGATCACGATAAGAGGTCGAGGAGGAGGTTTTTTTGGTAGAAATTAATTCCTTTTGTGGAGACCTTTCATTAGAGTACCATGAAGGGTAGAACATGTGTTCCCCCCCCCATTTTCTAAAGTTTAACTTGACACCACTGAAGGCATACGTATGCAAAATCTGAGACCAATTGGTTGTCATATGTAAAAGTTATACACGTTTTACTTTCAAAACAGCCTCTCAGGAGATAATTCGGGAGGGGGGAGAGGGGGGGGCTTTTACACTGCGAAATTTTATGGTCGTCTGGCACACCTTCTGCAAAAAATTCCAGGACTCTAGGATCATTCCCCTAGAAGTAGTTCGATAGGGCAGGAGTGGGTCCGGACGGACAAAACGCAAACAATAGCATATTTTTTTAATTCTTAAAAAATGCGCTAAAAATACCTAAAGGACCATGCAGGAGGATAGTGAGAAGCTTCGAAGAGAGAAAGACATATATGACAGAAGCATTAGGGAAAGATATTTGAAAAAAGTAAATGTGAAAGAACATGAAGAAAAAACGCACTAAAACAGACGTGAAGGAATGCTGAATGACGCATAACGGAGGCGTGAAAAGAGCTTAATGGGAACACGAAGGAGGCCTGAAGAAGATAGATGTGAAGGAAGGAAGTAATGTGAATGAAGTGATAAGGGAAGAATCTTCAAGGAAACAGGCGAGGTAGATGTGCAAGGTCACTTCAGTGATGGAGAACCAATTAGACGTGATAGCAGCTTAAAGGAGGCGTAAAAGAAACTAAAAAGCGTAAAGGATAGAAGCATGAACAAATGAGAGAGGGAAACGGAAAGAAGAAGTGATAAAACATTGAAGCGTGCAAAAAGGAGGAGGCATAAAAAAGAGGGGAAGAAGGCTTTAAACAATCGTAAATAATGTGTGGACCATGTGTAAAAGAGACCTGAAGAGATTTGGAAACAGGAAGATATGTACAGCAAGTGTGGAGGAAAAGAATGTCTGGGAACGAAAAAGTCACGAAGGTGTAGCCGACGCGACGAACTGGCAAAGAAAGCGAGAAAGAGAGACGCCAACAAAGTATAAAGGACCCGAACGAGTTTTGAATGAGGCAACGAACCACAGGCGAGAGAAGTGAAAGAAATCGATCAAAATCGATATTTGTCAGCAAGCTGGCCTAAGGGAGTAGTGAAGTAGACGTGAATGGAAGAGATGTAAAGAAATGGGAGTGACAAAACCGTAAACTAAGCGTTACGAGTACATAAGGAGAGAAGGGCAAAGGGGCAAGTTGAAAGATCAAGAAGGTGTGGACCGCAGAGAAGAGACAAAGATGGGAGAGAAAACGTACCGTGTAAAAGATGTGAAACAACGGCTAAGGAAGTAGATGTGAATAAAGCGTGAAAGAAGAGCGAAGGATACGGCAGAACATCTAAAAAAGGAGTAACTTTAGCGCATTTTCCATGAAATACTTCCCGAAATGGCATATAATGCGCACACCTGATGTTTATAAATTATGCGATATGTTTGCCTTTACTGGAAGAATCTTTGGTTAAAATTTGAAACATGAGTTGGAAAATGCGCTAAAAATAAAAACATCATTTGACGTAAAATTCGAGTATGTTTATAACTTCCATTCCTTGTGTTTGTGGAAACTCTCCATAAAAGAACTCATAAGAATCGCTATTACGAGCGATGAAGAAAAGAAGACGAGACGGGAGAAAAAAACCAGAAAAATCACTGGTTAACAAAGAAAATGTACCCAACTTAAAAGAGTTTTTCTAAATTTAACAAAAAAAACACTAAATTATCATAAAACTAAAAAGTGCCGCAAGCTTACTAAAAATTAGCATAAAAAAGCTTTTATTTTCGAACAATAAGAAAGATGAACCTACACAATGCGGCGATAACTTTACCACCGGAGGCTTTAGTAGCTAGCCTAAAAGTGGCGGTGAGCATGCCATGGTTTCAAATAACATTAATAAATTTCGCTCCACACTTCCGGCATATACCAAAACCAAAAAAACAAAGGTGTTGACAAATTCATTTGTATTAGTAGCACCAGTCGCTCCCTTTTGCTGCGCGATTATTATGAGCAAATTTAAGAAACGCCAATTATGATATATTACCCAATCAGTTTCATTAGTAAATTAAATTGCGTGTCGACAAGTTAACCTTGGTTTCTATATACATCCGAATGTGGGTTGGAGCTTCAATTACATAATGATCGTTATCTTACATATCTACCTGTTAATTAAACTGACAAAAATCGCCCTAATCGCTAATAGGGTGCTATTTTTTTAAAAAACTATACACAATTTGTAAAGCTCGGCGATTGCGATTGCATCGTAGTAGTAAAATTTCGAAAAAAACGCATACACCAAAACTCCCGGGGCCGTACCTTGCGTGACCAACACGTGATAGGAACGCGCCTCTCAAAATAATAGCACGAAGCTAATTAGCGACGGTATTAAACTAAATTTAGCTGTCGGTAATGGCCATAAGCTGCTAAGACCGTAATTTTTGGACGAGAAATAAAACCAACCAATTTGGGTTGGCAACTAATCATAAATTATGGATAATGGTTGCTTAGAGGAGTACATTTGCTTAATGATGAATAAATCATTATACTGTAACATCACAATGTTTGATTTATTCATTATGATAAGATAGCAAACCCTAAAACCCTAAGGTAATTGTAATAAGGGTTATTGTGCTTTTCATCCTTGATAACGAAACATACTCAGTAGCTATTTGGAAGATAAATGAGGAATCCGCAGAATCAAATGTAAACATTGTAGCTGATTGTACCTAGCATTGGCGGAACCAGAATTGCACATTCGATTATGTATGTTTTCTACTACTAAACATAAAAGCAACGCCTTCAGCATCCAATATAATAGTCCGATCCAGTAGGAATGGCATCGCTGAATATTCCAGTACGTTACAGGAACACGACAAAAGGAAGTGGGATAATATGAAAACGTAATTAATTAATTTCATCGAGCCGATGGGTACATCCACGGCTGACACTGAAGTAGGTTAAATTACGGCACAACCCCGGCTTAAAATCTATAATAATAACAGCGGGAAGCTCTTAGGAGACGTTTTGGAAAACTTTCGCATTTGAACGACGAAATTAAGCGCAGTCGAGAAGCTCCGCTAGATTGAAACAAAAGTTTATAATCTTGTTTGGGGAATTTAGACATTTTGGTCTAAGTCACCTTTACATATATTATAAAGCATAGCCCGTTTTTCCTTTTCCCTATACATCCATGACGACGAAGGCAGCTACTAGCGGAGCTTTTATCTTACCGGCGATTAGTCGGGTCTTTGTAGTTGCTGTGAAATTTGAAGGCGTTGGGAACAAATTCGGAGAAAAAGTCTAAACGAAGCAATCCCGAAAATCCCGCTTTCAATCGTCTAATCAATTGTTTGTCCTGAAATACCTCGGCGGACCTCGCCCAATTGAGAGTACTCAAAATCATCGATGGCCATTTTTATGTAATTTAATGTCTGTGGCATTTTGCATTGGCTCATACCTATATGCTACAGTGATATTCATGTAGACATAGGGATAAAAAGTCTTCTGAAGGACGCCTAATTTTATGCAACCAAAATAACTTCTTGAAACAAATAAAGATCTGGCTGTCATATTAATTATTAATTTGAATATT